AATAATTAATGGAACAGTAGCATTTACTGTTGTAATTAATAATTATTACATTTATTATTATAATCATAAGAATGAAAAGAACAAAAATTATAATTTATTTTTAAAAAATTGTATATTTATAAATATTTTCATTACTAAGAATAGAATTATTTAATTTTTGTAATGAAAACTAAACACAATGGAGTTTTTTGAGTTCTTAATACTTATACCCAGCGCAATTCATCTCATTTGCGAGAGAATTTTCATGCCGTCTGGGCGGAATTTTTCAGAACTATTTCTGGCGCGAAATTCAAATTTCCCGAAATAAGAGAGCAAATAAACGAGGGAAAAAAATTTTCAAATGAATTTTGGTCGAATATTTCAAACTCAATTCTTAATTCATAACAGTCTTGGGCCCATTTTAGTCTAGTATTTGCAAAATGGTCAATTTTTTCAAAATTGATGGAAGACAACAGACAAATTACTTGACAAGAATTACAGTAATTGTTGAGAAACAATTTTCGTGTTGTTATATTGTTTATTTGATTTTAGACCGAGACGAAAAATAGTAGGGGAGCAGTGGGGGGTTTCAAAGTTGGTCACGAGTAGCTGGAGGTGCTACTTGAAAGATTCACAAGATGAAGAGAGTCTTTTGTGAATAATTACATGACATTTGAATGGAATACCATCGGCCCCCTCAACAGCAAGACATATGATTTCACTGAGTTGATCCATCAAGTTTGAATCACTGTTTACTGACAATACATCCTACATATAAATAATGTTAACAATTCCAATTTTATTTATTAATCACTCTGGACTTTAATTCTTGTTTTCTTATAAGGAACAACAAATTTTTTTTCCAATTGGTACGTCCGATTCTAAACCCATTCTTCTCTAATTCTAATAAATATGTTGTACAATAATTCCAAATATATGCGGTCAAAAAATAATTTTACAAATTCCAATGAAATAATATTTATAATAATAAATTGTTGTTGTAAATGTAGTTTACAAGAGAGAAGAAGATTCTTCTCCACCTCTCCGCACTAGTCGGACTTTTCTGGGAAAAATAAAATAAAGTCTGTATAATAAAAGAGTGACAAGATTGGAATCCTGATTAGGAAAAAAGATTGCTCCACAACGATCAACAGGATGCAATAGTTGGTCTCTCGATTCTTGGTGATGATTCCAAAGAGATGGAGTGAGTTTTGAGAAAAAGAGCGGAACCCCGGGTGTATGTCCTTACAAAGTTGTGTGCCCCGTTGTATATAGCAAAAGCAAAAGACGTATTTAACTTGAAAGGGGGGGGGTCTCTCGAGTGGGAAAGAGGGGCAAAATGTGGATGGGCCGGATTGGAACGTTCACCATTTGAAGACATCGTTTGGTCCAATCCCGTCGCCCTTAGCTCTGGGTCAGAGCACTGGGTAACGGCATTGCGTATATATACGCAAACCCAATGATATCTGGGTTATAATGTAGTAATTACTGCTTTTACCCTTCAGCGTGTTCATCATCTAAAGAGGGAGGAGGAGGAGGGGACTTGCTATATGTATTCTTTACGTTTACGCATTTCTGGGGGGTCTTCCATAATTCTACCACGGCAATGTACTCATTGTATATACAATGTTTACTTGCGGTTTTCTTTTGAAAATTGCCGATGTAATTTTGGTTAATTTGTTAGAGAATTTTGACTATACATTCTTAGGACGTCTTTAATTTTTATAAAGACGTTTTATGTCTTGATGATGTATTTTGGGCATAAGATGCGACTTTGGGACGTTCTTTGAATAGACATTGATGTCGCATTAAAAAACGTACTACAACTTTGGACCAAAAATATTAAAACGATATTTTTTCAATTTCAAATTCAATTACAGAAAAAAGGATAATCTAATTTTAAGAAGCTCCTACTTACATAAGAGCTAAGAATATTTCCTATTTAAATTTCCCCACTTAATTTCAGTGGGGCCACTTAATTTAAGTAGGGAATATTCTTGGCTCATAATTAAGTAGGAGCTTCTTAAAATTAGATTATCCTTTTTTCTGTGAAGCTTTTCTAAAGTTAAGCTAAAACAAAACTAAAGCTATAAATTAAAGCAAAACTAAAGTTGTAAATTAAAAGAAAACTAAAGCTATAAATTAAAAGTAAACTAAAGCTATAAATTAAAACAAAACCAAAGCTTTAAATTAAAGTAAAACTAAAGCTTAATTAAAGGTAAGCTAATACTAAATTAAAGCTAAGTTCTAATGAAAGTTAAGCTAAAGTAAAGGCAAACTATAAAGTTAAGCCAGGCTTAAGATTAAGTTAAATAAACGTAAGCTAAAACTGATAAGACAAGAATGTGAAGACAGAATCGATTTCCATACGTTTTGCAGCAAGACATCTACCTTTCAACGTCCATGATCATGATAAACATCCTGCACGACTTAACATTCCAAAGATCACATCCAGATTATTCTATGTAGACATACTTTTTTTTGGTTTAAATTCTTAAAGGGAATTATCAATTAGTCTACCTTGATATATCTATGATTTTTATGATTTTCAATACTGCTGTACTAGATCTTCAAAAATTTTTTATTTTTTTATGACTCACGAGAACGAGATTAACTAATTAGTTAAACAGGAATACTGACTTTTTCCAGATTTCCAGAAAATTGCAACTTTTTTTTTTATCTCTATATATAAAACAAATTCAAGGAAAATTAAAAACAAAAAGAGAATTATTAAAAATGGAAATTAACTTTAAAACTATAAGGGTTTTGTCTCTATTTTGAAAAAGTAAAATTACTAATTGTGGTGAATTTTCCTCGATTACTTTCAGAGAGTTCAATAAAATTCTTAAAAAATATAATTATTTTTAATCGAATTTTCTAAAATTTTCAACAACTTGTTTATAAAAATTCAAATAACTTTGGAAAATAGAGCTAGAATATTTAGAAAAATGAATGAGGCAAATTTCTTTAGACTATTTTTAAGAATTTAAAAAAAAACTTAAAAAATTTCAATTATTTTTAATAGAATTGTTTGGAAATTTTAATAATTTTCCAAAGGTTGAATTACTTTTTTAAAAAAATTCAATGATCTTAACAAAAAATATAACTGAGACATTTTAAAAAATTAATGTTATTTTAAATAAATAAATTTAGGTACTGGACTATTTTTAGGAATTTCAAAAACATTTAAAAATTCCATTATTTTTAATCAAATTTCAGAAAATTTCAAACCCTTGTTTAAATTCAAGAATTTTTTAAAAATTACTGAAAAAGTCAATTATTTTTTTTTAAATGGAACTGAAATGTTTAAAAAAATTAATAAGACAAACTTCCTTCAATTATTTTCAAGAATTTTACAATAAAATAAAAAAGTACATTTTATTTTACAATAAAAAGTGAATTATTTTTAATAGAACATTAGAAAGTTTGAATTATTTTAAAAACTTTTAATTACAATATTTCAGTTAAATTATTTTTTTTAAAGATAATTAAATTTTTATTCAATTATCTTTAAAAGAAATGTAACTGAAATATTGTAATTGAAAACAAATCTGTCAAACATTCCTCTATTATTTTCAAAAACTTGAATAAAATTCTTAAAAACCTCTAATTATTTTAAGAAAATTTCAATTGCTTGTTTTTAAAATTTCAATTATCATTAAAACATTTTTAAATATTAGGTTTTTTTATTGAAAAAACTTTTACGTCCGAGTTTATTTTATGAAATTAATAAGAAAATAACTGATAGGTTTTTTTTTAAATTTCTAATAAATTTTTTAAAGAAATTTAATTATTTTTAATTCAATTTCAAAAAAAATTTCAATTAATATGATAAAATTCTTTAATAACATTATTGCAAAAAATTCAAGTATTTTCAAAAGAATGGAATTCAAAATGTTCAGAAGTTTTTTAAATAAATATTTAATTTAAAAAATAATATTCAGTAGTAAAAAATTAAGCTATTGTTTAAAAATTCATTGTGATTATTGAAATTTTTCAAGTGAATAAATATTTCGTTCTTTGTGGGATTGTGGGCATACCACAAATTTTTGTTTGGCAAATTTTGAGGCATACCGCAATAATTCTAGAAATTTCATATCGCTCCAGTACTTTTGATAAAATTTTTTCACATTTCTCTGATTTCCATGTCCAATTTTATTTATTTATTATTATACCAATATTTTCATAAATAAAATAATAATAATAATTTAAGTAATTGCATTCTTTGACAGACTTTTCTCATAGTTCGAAAAATATATTACACCGTCCGACAAAATTTAATTGTTTTTCAATCACAAAAAAATCAAACAATTTCAAAAACTATGACCAAAAAAAAAAAAAAAAAAAAAAACCCGTGTTTGGACGTTTTGCTAGATCAAAAAATCATTTGTGGCTTCTATATAAAGGTGTAAACAACCCTTAAATTAAGAGTGATAAGATATTTTTTTAAAATTATTAATTTTTCATGAAACTTGATATCTATGGGTTTTTGGGGACGTTGATTACGAATCCGATGTCTGTTTTTCAAAATTCAAAATGGCGGATCCAATATGGCGGACAACTTTTTAAAAATAGATTCAATGTGTCTGAAACTCGTTACTCGGGGGTTTTTGGGGTCGCTGATTACGAATCTGATGTCTGTTTTTCAGAATTCAAAATGGCGGATCCAATATGGCGGACAAATTTTTTAAAAATAGATTCAATGTGCCTGAAACTTGTTACTCGGGGGTTTTTGGGGTCGCTGATTACGAATCCGATGTCTATTTTTCAGAATTCAAAATGGCGGATCCAATATGGCGGATAACTTTTTTAAAAATAGATTCAATGTGCCTGAAACTCGTTACTCGGGGGTTTTTGGGGTCGCTGATTACGAATCTGATGTCAGGACATTAAAATTCAAAATGGATTCGCAATTTTGAATTTTAATATCCTGACATCAGATTCGTAATCAGCACAAATAATAATATAATAATATTTTTATTATTATCAAACTGATTACTCATTACTCTTATTATTTTCAGCTGGCTACCGGCGAAGAAGTCGAAGTAGTGGAAGCGATACCAGGCGAGGAGAATCGAAACGAAAATTCGGCCCTTAATCGTCAGGACACTGAGATAAGTGACTCCGATCAATTGGCATTGGAATCGCTGAACGAAAAGGATGGCGGCACTGCACACTACAAATCGGGAGGTCATCGAGGACATCCATTACCACCAGGCAGAGGTGCAATGTCGCATCTCGCACGGCCACATCACAATGTCGCCTATCATGGACCACCGCCTCCATTACCGTCAAAAACTCAACCCGATGCCATGGACAAGGTCTACAATGTTGGCCCGGCTGGCGGTGATAATTGGCCGGCATTAACTCCCGATATGCCGAAAATAATGTCACTCGACGTGAAATGCGAGAAGAATTTGATGAAAGTCTATTTGAGTTTCGATAAACCATTTTATGGTATAGTCTTTAGTAAAGGCCATTATAGCAATGTAAATTGCGTTCATCTACCTGCCGGTCTCGGGAGATCGTCAGTCAACTTTGAGATCAGTATTCATGCCTGCGGCACTGCTGGGAACACGGAGAATGGTCTTTATGGATATGGAGCCGAATCCGGATCCGGGACTTATTTCGAGAATATTATAGTCATACAGTATGATCCCCAGGTGAGAGTTTGACCTTTGGATTCATTTTTGATTCAGATTTTTGTTTTCTTTCTTTCTTTTTCGCCGTTATGATTAATGGAAGAAAATTGGTACCAAAAATCAACCGAAATTTCAAGAAAAAAGTACACCTGCACGGTGTACTTTTTTCTTTAAATTTCGGTTGACTTTTGGTTTTGCGTTTGATGTTTGATTGGTCTTTGCCTGAAGCAAGGCTCGAACTAGGTCCGTAAATTTGCCTGAAGTCCGTAAAAATCAGGTTTTTTGAAAAAATATCTGTAAAGTCCGTAATTTTATTGAGAAAAGACAAAAAGTTCGTAAATTATTGGAAGATATAATTTGGAGAATTTTAGAGAAATTACAAATAATTGCAGAAGTTCCATTATTTTCAAAAGTAATAAAATTCTTCGCAGAAATTCAATTATTTTCCAAAATTTTTAATAAAATTCTTGTCAAAATTTCAATTATTTACAAAAATTTTAATAAAATTCTTGACAAAATTTCAATTATTTTCAAAAATTTTCCACAATCAATGATTTTTAATATATACTATTTTAATCAAATTTACATAAAGAAGTCAATCGTTTAAAAAAAAAAAATTTTTAATAAAATTCTACGCAAACCTTTAATTATTTTCACAAAGTAATAAAAATTTTACAGGAATTCAATTATTTACAAATTTTTTTATAAATGTTCTTTGCAATCGTTCAATTATTTTCATAAATAATACAATTTTTCCAGGGATTCAATTATTTTCAAAAATTCTCGTTAAAATTTCAATTATCTTTAGAAATAATTAAATTCTTCTCCGAAATTCAATTATTTTGAAAATTTTTAAAAAAATTCTTTGGCAAAATTTCAATTATTTTCAAAAATTTTTAATAAATTTCTTGACAAAATTTCATTTATTTTCAAAAATTTTCCTCAATGAATGATTTTTAATATCTACTATTTATATCAAATTTTCCTAAAGAACTGAATCGTTTAAAAAAAATTTAATAAAATTTTACGCAAACCTTTAATTATTTTCATAAATAATAAGAATTTCACAGGAATTCAATTATATTCAAAATTTTTATAAATTTTCTTTGCAAAATTTCAATTATTTTCAAAAATTTCAATAAAATTTGTCAAAAGAATTCAATTTCAAAATAATTGAATTTTAATAGAATTTTCTAATAATAGTTGATTTGAAAATGGATTTAAGTTATAATTGAAGTGTGAATTTTTAGAAATAATTAAATTTTGAAAAGTTTTCAAATTGAAATCTTTGAAAATCTAAATTTGTCATATTTTTAACTAACAATTCGTGAGGAATTAATTTTTTTTGAGAAAGTTTGATTTATGAATAATTGAAATTAAACACGAAAAAAATTTAATTTTGTAAAAGTTACAAATTATTGCAGAAATTCAATTATTTTCAAGAGTAATACAATTACTAATATTAATATTAATATTATTAGTAATATTCTTTGCAGAAATAATAAAATTTTTCTTATAGGGATTCAATTATTTTCAATTCAATTTTAATCGAATTTCTCGAAAAATTTTATTCATAAAAATTTTATTAAAATTCGTCGAAAGAATTCAATTGAATTTTAAGAAACATTCAATTATTCAATAAATTATTAATTTTTGTATTTGAATAATTGAATTCTAGTAGAATTTTCTTATCAACATTAATTTAAAAATGGATTTCAGATAAAATTTTAGATTATAATTGAATTTTAACAGCATTAGAAAGTAAAATTTTAGAAATAATTGAATTTTGAAAAGGTTTTAGATTAAAATCTTTGAAAATTTAAATTTTTCATATTTTTAACTAAAAATTCTGTGGAATTAATTTTTTTTTTTTTTGAGAAACTTTAACTGCAGATTTTTTTTTAAAATTATTTAAAGTTTTTATTTTCTAATATATATATTTAATTGAAAAATTTACGAATAATTGAAATTTCGTAAAATTGAATTGTAAATAAATGAATTTGAAAATTCTTAAATAACTTTTTCAAAAATTATTAAAAATAATGGATTTATAAAACATGTTTGGTTAAAAACACGAAAAAAATTACAAATTATTGCAAAAATTCAATTATTTTTCAGGAGTAATAATATTCTTCACAAAAATTTAATGTTGTTCAAAAGTAATAAAATTCTTCTTTAGGGATTCAATTATTTTTACAAATAATAAAACTCATTGTAGAATTTCAATTATTTTTATAAAAATTTTTATCAAATTTTTCGAAAAATGTAATTATTCTTAAAAATTTTATTAAAATTCGTCAAAAGAATTCAATTATTTAAAAATCTGTTGATAAAATTCTTTATGGGAATTGAATTTTAAGAAACATTCAGTTATTCAATAAATTATTTATTTGCATTTTATTTGTATTTAAATAATTGAATTCTAGTAGAATTTTCTAATCAAAATTGATTTTCATTTCATAAAAATGAGTTTCAGTTAAAATTTTAGATAATAATTGAATATTAAAAGCAATGTAGCGTGAATTTTTCAAAATAATTGAATTTTGAAATTAATTTTCTTGAAAAAGTTTAATTGGATTTCTTTTATATTATTTGAAGTTTTTATTTTCTAATATATATTTATAGTTGAAGAATTTACGAATAATTGAAAATTCGTAAAATTGAATATTGTAAACAAATGGATTTGAAAATTGTCAAAGAACTTTTTCGAAAATTATTAAAAATAATCGATATAAAGAAGAATTTTAGTTAAAAATTTTTGTAAATAATAATTGAATTTTAAATGATTTTATCAATTGGTTATCTTTAATTATTATAAAACATGAAGAAATCGATCACTCCGAGTCGAATTACTCCGAACTCAGAGTTATCGATACCTTCATGTTTTATAGTTATGAAAAATTTAATTTTTAGTTTGAAGTAAAATGTTCTCTTATTTTATTTGTAGTGGTTATATTTTTGCCAGTAATTGGTTCGTAAATGGGCCTTAATTTTTCATTGTTGGTCCGTAAAGTCCGTATTTTTAAATACTTTCCCTGCTTCGAGCCTTGGCCTGAAGAGATTTACTGATTTTAGTGGATTATATTGTGATTAGAGAAGGATTGCCACAGTTGCAGCAAATTTGAATTGAAAGCTTTCTGCAAAAAAAAAATCCCTTTTCATTTGATCGATTAAAAGTGTTTTGATTTTCGATGTTCAGCGATTAAAAATCAGATTTACTTTTAGGTGCAAGAGGTGTGGGACCAGGCACGAAAATTACGATGCACTTGGCATGATCTGTACGAGAAATCAGTGACCTTTAGGCCATTCCCAGTGGATATGTTGGACGTGGTTCGCGCTGATTTCGCTGGCGACAATGTGGGCTGCTGGATGCAAATCCAAGTTGGCAAGGGACCCTGGGCATCGGAGGTTTCCGGTCTGGTGAAAATTGGACAAACAATGACAATGGTTTTGGCAATTAAGGACGATGATTCTAAATTTGATATGCTTGTGCGCAATTGTATGGCGCACGATGGTAAACGAGCGCCAATTCAATTGGTCGATCAGAGGGGATGCATCACAAGGCCTAAGCTGATGTCGCGTTTCACTAAAATTAAGAATTTCGGTGCAAGCGCCTCGGTATTGTCATACGCACATTTTCAGGCATTCAAATTTCCCGATTCAATGGAAGTGCATTTCCAGTGCACAATTCAAATTTGCAGGTATCATTGTCCTGATCAGTGTGCTGATTCAACGTCGTTACTTGACTCTCAGGCTGGACTCCTTGAGAATCATCAGGTGGGACATGGACGTCCTGATGCTGGATATGGTCCACCTTTGCCACTCGAAGCTTATCTACAGGTGGGATAGAAATTTATTTTTTTTTATTTACTTTTAGTATAAATCACTCACTCACTTTTTTTAAACAAAATTAGCAATTTAAAAAAAATAGAACGTAAAAATTTCTAATTCAAATTTTTTTTATTAAAAATTAAATATGAATTGGAATATATAGTTTTAATATTATTATAATTACAATAATCATATATTCTGACATAGGGAATTCAGGGAAAAGTCAGGAATTTTTATTAAAAGTACTGAAAAAAATTAAATTTTTAGAATTCATAAAAAAGTTCTGAATTTTTGTGTCGTTTTTGTTTGACTCATGAACCGTAAAATTACAACGAATTCTAATACAAAACCTTCATTTTTTTCAATTTCTAAAAAAAATTTTTTTTTAAATAACTTAAATCTTGAACAACTATCATAAAATAAATAAATTATGTAATGCATAATTTTACTTAAATATCTCAAAATTAATTCAATTTTAAAAGAGTTGCGTTTACAATGTTCATAAATAAATGAATTTTAAACGGTTGCAATTTTAAATTTTATAAAATTTCATTCTTGAATGAAATTAATTAGAAATTTTAATGAACTTAGATTTTTGAAAAAGTTTAATAATTCCTAATCTTCTAGAATTAGTTAAATTTATAAATAAATAAATTTTTCAATATATATATATTTAATTAAATATTAAAAATAATGGATTTATAGAAGAATTTTAGTTAAAAACACTAAAAAATTGAATTTTGAAGAAGGTACAAATGATTTCAGAAATTCAATTATTTTCAAAAGTAATAAAATTTTTAGCACAAAATTCAATTATGTTCAAAATTTACAAAAAATCTAGACAAAATCCCAATTATTATCTTTATAAATAAAAAAATTCTTCTTCAAAATTCAATTTTTAAAAATTTTAATAAAATTCTTGGCAAAATTTCAATTATTTAAAAAAAATTTTTAATTTCTATTTTTTTATAAATTTTTTTATTTATTTATTCTGAATATCTACTATTTTAATAAAATTACAGAGAGGAATTTAATTATCTAGAAACAATTTTAATAAAATTCTACGCAAACATTTAATTATTTTCATAAATAATAGAAATTTCCCAGGAATTCAAATATTTACAAATTTTTCATAATTTTCTGCTCAATAATTCAATTATTTTCATAAATAATAAAATTCTTCGCAGGAATTCAATTATATTGAAAAATTAAAGAAAATTTTTGTCAAAATGTCAATTATCTTTAAAAGTAATAAAATACTTCGCAGAAATTCAATTATTTAAAAAAATTTTAATAAACTTCTTGGCAAAATTTTAATTATCTTCAAAAAAATTTTGTCAATTAAATGATTGTTAATATCTCCTATTTTTTATAAAATTTACCAAAAGAATTTAATTATTTAAGAATAAATTTATAAAATTTTACGCAAACATTCTATAATTTTCATAAATAATAAAAATTCCACACGAATTCAATTATTCAAAATTGAATTTGCATAAAATTTTTCGGAAAAAAGTCAATTATTTAATAAATTTTATGATATTCTTCGCAAGAATTCAATTATTTTTACAAATAATAAACTTTTTCACTGAAAATCAATTATTCGAAAAATTGTAATAATATTCTTCGAAGGAATTCAATTAATAATAAAATATTCCTGAGGAATTTCATTATTTTTATAAATATCAAAATTCTTTTCAGGAATTCAATTATTTTCATAAATAGTAAAACTCATCGCAGAATTTCAATTTATTTAAAAATTTTTAATCAAATTCCTCGAAAAATGTAACTACAGTCAGGTCTCGCTAAGTGTCGTCACTGGGAATTTTTTGAGACCGTCTGTCTCAGTAAGTGTCAGTGGCCTAAGCCACGCCCCTTTAATAAAAGTGGCCATTTCATTGGTTTATGTTGCAAACCGGTTTGGGGAAGTCCATTTTTAGCATTGGAGAGGGTAAAAAAAAGTGGGAAAAGTGACACTTGTTGGGTCTTGAACGATGACACTTTGTGAGTCATGACACTTACTGAAAACGACACTTGGCGAGACCTGACTGTATTCTAAAAAATTTTATTAAAATTCGCTTCAAAAGAATTCAATTTAAAAGAATATTTAAAAATTTGTTAATAAAATTCTTTATAAGAATTAAATTTTAAGAAACATTCAATTATTGAATAAATAATTTACTTTTTTATTTAAATTTAAATAATTGAATTCTCGTGGAATTTTCTAATAAAAATTAATTTGTAAGTGAATTCTAGTTTAAATTTTAAATGATAATTGAATATGAAAATAATTTTTGAGAAGTTACAGTAACAATATTCTTATAATATAAAATAATGATTTTAACACTCGATCCTCTTTAATTATTATAAAACATGAAGAAATCGATCACTCCGAGTCTTCGACTCGGAGCAATCGATATCTTCATGTTTTATAACAATACTTTTAATAGTTATGTTTAATTTCAAAAAAGTTTACATTTGAAATTTTTTAATATCTTAATTCCTGTGGAAAAATAAGAATAATTAAATATTTATTTAAAAAAGAAGTTATTATTGATGTTTTCGAATAATTTTACAATTAAAGAAATTCGTTAATAAATGTAACAGAACATTTTTTTGAGTAATATTTTTAATAATAATAATAATAATAATAATAATAATAATAATAATAATAATAATAATAATAATAATAATAATAATAATAATAATAATAATAATAATAATAATAATAATAATAATAATAATAATTAAATAATAATTAATATTTTTAAACTGCGGACAGCATTTATGAAAGAATACGTAGATAAATCAATAAATAATTAAAAAAAATTAATAATGAATTGAATTGAATTTTTAATGAAAATTTATTAATTTTATTAATTTACTAATGATTTCTCCATCAGGCCGCTGTAGATCGACCCAGAGACGAGAGGCGAAGAAAGTCCCGTGAAGTTGTACAGTCACCTGAAAATATAATTGGTGTAAAGAGAATAATAAGAGTTGTGTCAACGGGCGATTTGACGTTTGCCATTGACGATACAAATAATAGCGAACCAACGAGTGCAACAATGGTATTTCCAATTAAGGACCCAGTGCCAAGTTCAAGTATGATTTGCATGACCACTCCTGGATTTGCACTTACATTGATTGTACTTTTGGCCGTTCTGCTGACCTCATGCATCCTCTCGGCCTATCTTTGCATTCGCCTTCGACCTCTAAGTAAAGACAAGAAAAACATTCAAATTCCAACAATCAGCAATCAAATTCCCAAGAAACCAATCAAGGCTGCGTGCTTCTATTCTTAGGCAAGTCGCAAAATTTTTTCAATAAATAATTTATTAATTTTATGAAAATAAAATTAAAATTAAAACTAATTAAGGAAATATCTAATAATTATAAAACTAAATTAATTAATCGACTAATGATTAATTAATAAAAGTATTAACTAAATAGTAAACGAAATAAAATGAATTATAACTAAGTAACGAATAGATAAAGAAAAATAATATAATTAATAATAATTATAACCTAAATTGAAATAAAAAATTTGTTTTTAATAAAATTGAAATTTTTATTTTACAGGTTCAAGTAAAATTGTTCGATGGGATTTTCATTGAATCCAATGTGTTCAGTTATGCCAGTGCCGCGCAAATAAATTGCCGCGGGAACAAAGTGGCGAAAAGTGCTTGAATAAAAGCCAAAAATTCAGGAGCTTTTCGACGTTATATTTATATATATATATATTTATAATATATAAATGAAAATGAAGGTCGATGGCAATATATGCAACCGAGAACAGGGTAATTTTGCAATAGCAAATTTCTACCCATTTTACCAATAATTGAAAGTAGAGTCTCGCTTCTGTATACCTGGAAAAAATGTCTGATATAGTCTCTAGTTATTTAAAATACAATTTTTATTGATTTAGTCCCTTTAAAAAGAAAAATAACAAATCATCATCAAAAAAAAAATCGACAAAAAAAAAGGAAAATATGGAGAAAATAGATCAATCAAAGATTAATTAATTGTCTGCGCAAATATTACGAAATTGCTTTTTTCCTCTCTCGTTTGGAATTTTTTTTTGTAATTTGCGTAATTATACTTTTTTCTATTGTATGAGAAATTATTTATTTTGAAAAATTATTATTATTTAATACCGAAAATAAATTTATGTAATTAAATTAGCTAAGTTGATTAAAAATTACAACTGAAACTTCTTATCTTTAGTAGTAGGGAATAAATTTTTAATCGAAAAAACATTCAAATTGGAACTGAATTTTTTGAAACAGTTTTACAAAACAAATTAGTAACAATTGGAATAAATCGAAATATTTAAAATTTAAAATTTAAAATTTAAAATTTAAAATTTAAAATTTAAAATTTAAAATTTAAAATTTAAAATTTAAAATTTAAAATTTAAAATTTAAAATTAAAATTTAAAATTTAAAATTTAAAATTTAAAATTTAAAATTTTAAATTTTAAATTTTAAATTTTAAATTTTAAATTTTAAATTTTAAATTTTAAATTTTAAATTTTAAATTTGAAAATAATATTTATAAATGGGGAAAAACTGAGCAAAAGAAATAAAAAAAAACCGATCTGTCTAAGACGGTTAATTAAAATATTTAATTTATTTGTATAGGCATTTAGAATAACTATTTATTTTTAATTAATGATTAATCCCCGTTGATAATGAAGATGATATTTATTCGGGTAAACTGTTCTCTATTAATTTCTTTTTTTTTATAGATTCTGCGAATCTACTATAATGATGATATTGAATAATTTTAGTATATTTAATTAAATATAAAGGTTCGATATGTGTATAAGTGCTGTTAATCAAATAATACATTATGTAATTGTTTTTCAGTTTTCTGTACTAAAGTTAATAATTTAGTTTTGCTAGCTTACAATATATGTTGAAAACAAATTTCCGCTATTATTTACATTACAATGTGTTTTTGTTTATATATTTGAATAAATTTTCAACATATTCGTATTTTAAATTATACAATACGAGCTTATTATACAATAAGCGGTCAATTCTCTCTTTTTCAAAATGAAAATTTATTTTAATTATTCTGTTCAATTTTTTCATGTATTTAAATATTTTTCGAAATTTACTGTTTTTTATTTAATATTTTTATTTAATATTTTTTATTTAATATTTTTTATTCACTATTTTTCTTTACTTTTTTTACTTACTATTCTTTACATTATTTATCATTTTTTATTTATAATTTTTTTTCTCTTTTTATTTACTATTTTTTATTAACAATAGTTTCCTCTGTCGTTAAAAATCTGAAAATCAAATTAAACTAGAGAATGTATACAAATTTTGTTCGACAATGTATTATAAATATATTTACTAATTAAATATTTGCGTGCCAAAGTTTACAGAAGGTTATTTTCCTTGCATATTTTAAAAGCTTTTAATCAATTTTCGAAAAATTGTATTTCAGAATTTAATTTATTGAATAAGTTAATAGTTTTCAATTAATTTTTTTTTGACCGAATAAATTAGAAAAGTAATATTTCAAAGTAATTTAACATTTATTGCGTTTTGCTCAAAACTCACAACTGTGATAAAATTTACTGCGGACATTTTTTTTTTACTTTTTTATGTTAAATGAGTATATTGGTGAAAATTAATTGAAAATTTTCTAATTTACAAATTTTTTTCGTAAAACAATCATTTGAATAATAGATTGATACTTTAAAAAAATTTTGAATAATTTAATTTAATAATTATAATTGATATAATTGTAACGGGATGAATTGATTCGAAAATAAATAAATAATTAAATTAATTAGTTATATTTTAATTTTTTTTTCTCTAAAATCTTCCAATGAAATAAGTACGAAAATTTTTTTCTAGATTAAAAGCTTTTAAAAAAATGCCCACTACTTAATCACTAATTTTCATTTCTCTTAATGATTGTAATTTTTACAATTAAAATAATGTTAATCTCATTGTCTTACCTCTGTCGATTTTTAATATTACTACCGTAACGTTTCATTCTATAGAAAAAAAATGAGATTAATAATTTTTTTTAGGGCTCGGCGAAATTTTCGTTTTTGTAATTCTAAAATCTACTGTGTAATATTTATTTATAAGAATAATTTATTCATATTTATAAGTAATTATAATTGAAACTAAGTCTGTGTATAAAGTCTTAAGTGTTAAATAAATAATTTTTACGTACCTGTTTTGATTCATTTTCCCCTTAATTTTACCGACTGAAATATAAAATTAAAATATTTCTAAATAAAAATTCAAAAATAATTTAAAAATATTTCATTTTTTATTTAAAAGAATCTAAAAATTGTAAAAATATTATTTATATGTAAAAAGAAATTATTTTGTCTGAAATTTTTTCCAAAGAATAAATTAGTATTCTTACAATTCAATTTATTTATAATTTATTTGAATTTATTTATTTATTAACAAATAACATTTTTATTTTATTTTTAATGCTATTTCACAATGAAACAGTTTTCTTTTCATAAAAATAAAGAATTTCATTAATTTTATTAACAATATTTGCTGTTTTCTTTTTGTATTAAAGTTTTATTTATTTAATTAGAATTCAATAAAAACAATTTTTAAGCCCACTCGCATGTAAATAAATAAATAAATAATTTTTATATTATATTATTTATTGTTTTAATATATTAATTTTTAATAATAATAGTTACTCAATGAAATGAATAATTTTTAAGCAAATTTCTCCAAAATTGACAAAAACACTAAATTTCTTTATTTTTATTAAAATAAAACAATGCTTACACAAGTTTCTGTTAGCGTATTTATAATAATTATGGAGTAAAATGATTTTATATAATAAATTTGTGACAAAACCTATTTTTAATGGCATTATATAGTAATTTTATCATATTTACATAATTTAATATATATTCTTAAAAGTATAACATTAATTTATAACAATAAAAAAATTAAGCCTATAATTATTAATTATATAGATCAAAATTTTTGATCTTACAGAAAAATTATTTTTCCTATTCGTAAAAAATTCTAAAACTTACTTAATTTTACAAAAAAGTTAAATTAAACTAAATTTCCCTATTATTAAAATAATAAATTCATTTTTTTTAAAAATATTTTGTGCATGTAAAGAAATTATTTATCAAATATAACTGTAGGTAAAATAATAATTAATGCATTTTTCCAAATATTTAAGTTTTAAAAAATAATTTAAACTGAGTATATTAATTTAATAATAGTTGATTAATTAATTTAAAATTAATCAATGAATATTTATATTAATTAATTTATCAGTTAATAAATATTTGAAAAAATATTAATTAAATATCTCGATTTAGAAAAAAGCAAAAAAAAAATATTTGTTTTCGGAAAAAAAATTGAAAAACTGAGGCAGGCACAGGTGAGTAGCACTGTTGAGTAAAACATTAAACTAATCCTAATAAATATCCAGTACCGATGGGTTAAATATTTAAACTTAAAATTAAAAAAAAAACTATTTAAAAACTAGTCTTATTGTTTAGGTTTACTTTTTTGAGCAGAATATATAAATAGTAAATACATTTTGATATTATATTATACATCAAAAATTACTTAATATTAAGTATAATCGTAAAATCAAAAATATACAATATTATAATAATAAATATGTTGTAGTAATAATTGGCGACAGCACTTTTAAAAAAATTCGTATAAGAAAAAGTAATTTAAACAAATAAAAGTGCAATTTACTTTTTACTATTTCTTTAGTAATTCAATACTTTACTAGTTACTTTACTAAATTACTATTTTAATTTATTTTATACTATTTTAATTCTCTTTATTTTTTTTTAATCTTTCAAATGAATATAGAAACAATAAATTATTGCACTCTTTTTGTCATAAACTACACGACGATCAAAAATATAAAATTGTCCGCACCATATTTTTACAGTCGCCAAATGACAAATTTATTGCTAATTAAAATAAAATTTGGGTTTATTTGATTATTGTAAATTGTAATATATTTAATATTACAGTACTCGAGTTTACAATTTTTAATAAAGAGTACTTTAGTGTTTAATATCAAACTTAACTGAAATTAAAATTCTAAAATTATTTCATAGGTAATGTAAAAGATATACAAAAAAATTATTATAAAAAATTATAAAAAATTATTAAAAATTTATTATTATTAAATTTTTTTATCTACTATAAAAAGAAAAATAATTTAAGAAAGGGACTCTCTTTTGCATTAAGTTCTTAAAAATAATTTCTAAAATAAATTGATATTTAATGAATTTATACTCTCTTTTATTTATATTTTATTTTCTTTAATAAATTATAAATATTTTCAAATAATTTTTGGTCCCATTTTTATTTTCTTTTCTATAAAAATTACCGCAAAAATTGTTTATAACAAGTACGAGGGATTAAATTATTATTAATAGTATTTAAATAATTATTGGCCGATGAAATTGAAAAGCTTGAAAAAATGAAAGAAATTTAATTTATTCAATGGAAAATTTTTGGTATTTGATTTTTAATTTAATTTATAGAATCTTTGTTACTGGCTAAAATAATTTTTTTTATAAGTAAAAATGTCTTGAAACACGAACAAGAAAAATATAAAAAAAAATTCGTTACTGGCTAAAATAATTTTTTTTATAATTAAAAAACGAACAAAAAAAAAAAAAATATAAAAAAACTTCGTTACTGACTAAAATAAGTTTTCTATAATTATTTGCCTTGAAAACGAACAAGAAAAGAAATTCGTTTAATTTCAAGTGGTGCTTAATATTTATTAAAAATTTTAAATTAAGTTCAATGGTCAATTTTATTAGAAAAAATATTTTTTTTATTGTTATTGAGCTTTTCAATTATTTGTATTAGTATAAAAAATACGATTACTTCAATTTCTAGTTACGAAAGTGCTGTTTGTTTATTTAACAGCAAAATATCAAAATAGACATTTTTAGAGTATTTTCATTCATTTCCATTTCTCTTTTTTCAATAAAAAAAATTTCCATCGCAAACATTGTTTGCTATTAACTGTTTGTAAAAGAAAAACAAACGGAAAAAATTTTCATCTTTTTTTCATACTTTTTTTTTTACTGGTAATTATTAATAATTAACTGCATTAATTGTAGCATAATTATTTTTTTCTAATTTGCTTTTCCTTTCGGTCGTTTGAGAATTAAAATAAAAATTTTTCTCTGGAATTATAAAAAAAATTTGTTACCAAACTTAATGCTTTTTTTTTGGTACAGATGTTTTTTTAGGGGTAAACATTTTAATGAACGAGACATTTATGTAATTTTATGATTTCTCGTTATAGCTTTTAATTTGTGAGATTATATACAACACGATAATTATTATTATTATTAATACAAAATATTTCAGTGATAGAAGCTTTATTCAAGTAATGAATGATATAATTCGTATAAAATTTGGAAAATAAATATAAAATTATTATGATCGTACATCGAAGAGTGGACACGTATATAAAATTTGTTAAGTATTTAAGTATTATTAAACATTATCGTAAAAGGCAATTTTTATATTGAGTGCCCTTCGTGTTGTGCCATAATTCTCACAAATATTGATAGTTATTAAATATATACAATTTTTTTTTTTTTGAAATTTAAAAAATATTTAATTTTTAAATGAACGAAAAGACAAAATAAAAAAATCTAAAAAGATTTCAAAAAAAGGTGTCAAAACAATTTTGGAAATATTCATGGTAGAAAATTATAGAAAATTTTTTTTCAATTCCTATTTTGATTGTCTGACTAATATTGACTGCTACTACTGGTAATGTAAAAATTAAAAATATGTTTGTCTGACTAAAACTGGTTTTTCCTACTTGTACTGGTTTTAAAAAAACCGAATGTCTGACTGTAATGGACATTTACTACTAATTTCAAATTACACTGCCATTTAAAAATAATTTTCAATTTGTCTGACTCAAAATGCCTTTTACTACTGCTGTCAGATAGAATTTGAAAAAAGGCAGACAAGAGTTAAATTTTACTATACTGTCTTGAAATTAAAATCAGAAGAAGCTTTGAAATAATTTCTTTTTCAAACATCATGATTGTCTGACTATGAAAAATTATTACTACTAATTTTTAAATGACCTGAGACTGAAAGAATCATAAACTTAGAAATTTTTTACCTCTGGCTTGATTGTCATAATATAATATGTAATCAGTAGTAGAGGAAGATTTTAGTCAGACAAAAAGTATTTTAAAAAGAATTAAAATTAGATAAGTTTTGTCTGACTGAAACTGTACTTTTCTACTGATTTTAAAATACAAATGATCGAAAAATTCTTGCCTAGACAAAAAAATATTGTCTGACTGAAACTGTACTTTTCTACTGATTTTAAAATACAAATGATAGAAAAATTCTTGTCTGACCAAAAACTCCTTCTACTACTAATGTTACAGATTGCAACTTCTTTAGAATAATTTTTTTACTTTCTAAATAATTCTTTTACTACTGATATAAAATATGTCTGATTAAAATTGTCTTTTACTACTGATTTCAAATAAAAATACTACGAAGTTTTGTCTCACTGACAACTTTTTAATCTACTGCTACCAATAATGCATCTGCAACTAATTTTGTCTGACTAAAACGTTTTCTTACTACTGAAGCAATAATTACACAAAAAAAACAAGAATTCCTTTTACTTTTGTGTAATTTTTTTTTATACTTGATTAGAAAATAAATTAGTTTATGTAAATGGCAACATATTTTTTCGATCTAAAATTTTGTTTAAAAATTGTTTAAGAAATGAAAAATATAAAAAAATATAAAAAAAAATTGTACCATTAGAATCATACACAGTTAATACAGCAAACAGTTTGCGAACTACGCGAAAAAAAGCTCGTGCGGAAATTTTTTTTAAATCTCTAAAGAGAAAATGGATTATACATACGCACTAACGGTACTTTGTACAGTATATTGCACATTGTCTTAGACGGCATTCGCGCTTCTGTTTTTATTTCTTAAATTTAACTATTATTATCATTATTAATATTTTTCTCTTTTTTTATTCATTCAAAATCTTGAATCCTCTCTCTAAATCTGAATTAGTGAAAATAGTCGCACTCATTCACAGTAGTAAAAACATTCCCTAATTATTATCTTCTTAATTTTTTTATTCAGTCATAATTCATTAATATTGACGCGTTTTTTTTTAGTAGTTCCAATGTTTTTATATTTCAATGTAAATGTTCCAAAAATAATAATCAGAAAAAATATCTATATGCATATCAATAGCTTTTATAATTTCTGACAAAGTTTTTTTGAGAATTTTCAAACCCATTTGTTTACAATTAAATTTTAGGAAATTTCGATTATTCCAAAATTCTTAAATTAAATATATATTTTTAAAAATAAAAACTTCAAATAAAAAAAATCCAATTAAACTTTAAAAAAAAATTAATTTTACAGAATTGTTAGTTAAAAGTATGAAAAATTCAGATTTTCAAAGACTCTATTTTGAAATATTTTCAAAATTCAATTATTTCCAAAAATTCATTCTATAATAGTGCTTTTAATATTGAATTGTTATCTAAAAATTTAACTGAAATTCATTTTTAAATAAATTTTTATTAGAAAATTCTACGAGAATTACATTATTTAAATACAAAAATAAATAATTTATGGAATTTTTCTTAAAATTAAATTAAAGAATTTTAAAGAAGAATTTTATTATTTCTAAAGAAAATTGAAATTTTGACAAGAATTTTTTGTAAAATTTTGTTAACACAGTTGAATTTTTGCAAAGAATTTGATTACTTTTAAAAATAATTGAATTATTGCTCAGAAATTTATAAAAACTTGTAAAATAATTGAATCGCTATGATATTTTTATTATTTATGAAAATAATTAAATGTCTGAGTAGAATTTTATCAAAAAATTTTTTTAAATCATTGAATTTCTACGCTGAATTTTATTACTCTTGAAAATAATTGAATTCATCTTGTGTTAAATATTGTTATTTATGAAAATAATTGAATTATTGCTAAGAACTTTATAAAAACTTGTAAAATAACTGAATTATTAAAGTTATTATAAATCATTGAATTGAGGAAAATTTTTGAAAATAATTGAAATTTTACCAAGAATGTTATTAAAATTTTGTAAAATAATTGAAAATAATTTAATTTCTTTTTTCTAATTAAATTCATTCAAAATTGAAATTTTTGAAATCTCAAAATCAATCAAATTCAATCCTTTTAAATTTATTTATTTATGAAAATTATAAACGCAACTCTTTGAAAATTTAATTAATTTTGAAATATTTAAGTAAAATTAGTAAAAAAAAATTAGAAAAAAAAATAAAATTAAATTATTCGTTAATATTTAATAATTTATGTCATAATTTTATGATAAATAGTTTTTCAAGAATTAAGTTATTTGAAAAGAATTTATTGTCAGAAATAAAAAAAATTGAAGGCTTTTTATTAGAATTCGTGGTAATTTCATAGTTTATAAGTTATTGAACAAAAAAACACAAAAATTCAGAATTTTCTTATGAATTCAAAAAAAATTTTTTTTTTCCGTACTTTTAATAAAAATTCCTGACTTTTCCCTAATTTTCTTGTCTAATTCGACTTTCGCTGACTTTTCCCTGAGTTCCCTGATTTTCCTGACCTTTGGCAACTCTGTAATTTTTATAAAATCTGTAATTCTAGGTTTCTTAGGGTCGAAAATTACATCCTTGACAAACAAAAAATTTCTGTTTTTATTTTCCCAAAATAAATTAACAAAGACAAGATTCTTTTGGTTCTAGAACACAAAATTGAAAATTAGATTCTTAAATTATTTTTTTAGATGTTTGATTGATTATCTTCACGTTGTCACATCTTGGAAACAATATCATTTAAATATTAGTATTTAAAGTATTAAAAAATTCCATAAAGTTTAAACAAGTTTTAAGCAATGTGATGACAAAAGTTTAAATGCAATGGCAGGTACTAAAACGACAGCTAGTTTAATTAATATCATTGAATTTAATAAAAGAGTGTTTTTCTTTTACCTTTTATACGTTTTCCAAAAATCGAAAAAATTAATTTATTAAATAATTGTGGAAGAATTTACTAAATATTAAATAATTGAATATTAAATGAATTTGAAAAATTCTTAAAAAAAGTAATAGAGTGGATCTATTTTCACTATGATTTAGATTGAGACGAATCGAATATAATATAAATAATAAATAAACGTTCCTTATCAGCCTTGTTCAATTGGATTGTTCCCCGGTTTTTGTGTCTCATTACGATGTAATCGATCGGAGCAACGTACACGCAATAAACCATAGGACAACCAACCATTGGCGTTCGTCTGATGAATTGTATTGTTCTTTTGATTTTCCCTCATCATTTCGCGTTGCACCTGTAATCGATGTAGCATTGCGCCAGCGACAAGCGCCGATATTACTGCCGACAGTGCAACAATAACAAAAAGTGCACTGAAACCAGGCACGGGAAGACAAATTCCATAGACAACTTCCTCGCGAATACGCCCTTGAAAAACAGTGACTGCCTCGGCATGGGCATCGGGACTGAATGCAAGGTCAGCCTCGGAGATGACCTCGTAGATTCCACTCACGCCAACGTCGGCGCTTCTCACCTTACGATCGGACACAATCACTGAACGTTTACGTCGAATTGGATTTTCCAATTCATCTCTTCTTTGTGATTCTGTGCTCGTCACTTTCTTATCGTACGATTCTTTTTTATCTTTCGCATGATAAGTGGCGTCATCGTCGCGCGGCGTGTCCTCCTCTTCGTCGAGATTACGTGGTCCATGGGGGAAACGCTCTTCGCCGTCGTAACGCGTCACTCGAGCGGGTTCCTGTTCAAAAATAATAAAGAGAAACTTTATTAATTCATTTATTCAATATTTATTATTATTGTTCATTTTAATTTAGTTTCTTTATTTAATTCTTTCAATTTAGTCTTTAATTTGGTATTTAATTAATTACTTAAATGGAGGCACCCAACTTGGACCCCCTTTAAATTATTGAAATTGAATGAAATTGAAACTTTTTAAATTTTTTAAAAATAAAGAGAAAAATATTATTCAAAAAAATGTTCTGTTACATTTATTAAAGAATTTCTTTAATTGTAAAATTATTCGAAAACATCAATAACTTCTTTCTTGAATAAATACACAGCCACACAAAAAAAAATTTGTGTTCTGACCCAGAAGTCTCACTATGTGTACTTTATGTTTTTGGGGTCGCTGAATCCGAATCCGAGGTCCATTTAACCCCATTAGTTCAGGGTTTTGATATAACCCCAGAAAACCAATATGGCGGACACCTATTGAAAAAATTCATCGGATTCGCTTGAAACTCGTTACTCGGGGGTTTTAAGAGTCGTCGATTACGAATTTGGTGTCAGTTTTCAAAAATTCAAAATGGCGGATCCAATATGGCGGACACTTTCTTGTAAAATTCATCGGATTCGCTTGAAAATCGTTACTCAGGGGTTTTTGGGGTCGCTGATTACGAATCTGATGTCGGTTTTTCAAAATTCAAAATGGCGGATCCAATATGGCTGACACAAAATATTGGATCCGCCATTTTGAATTTTTGAAAACTGACATTAAATTCATAATCGGCGACTCCAAAAACCCCTGAGTAACGATTTTCAAGCGAATCCGATGAATTTTACAAAAAAGTGCCCGCCATATTGGATCCGACATTTTGAATTTTTGAAAACTGACATCAAATTCGTAATCGACGACCCTTAAAACCCCCGAGTAACGAGTTTCAAGCGAATCCGATGAATTTTTTCAATAGGTGTCCGCCATATTGGTTTTCTGGGGTTATATCAAAACCCTGAACTGATGGGGTTAAATGGACCTCGGATTCGGATTCAGCGACCCCAAAAACATAAAGTACACATAGTGAGACCTCTGGGTCAGAACACAAATTTTTTTTGTGTGGCTGTGTTATTATTTTCTAGAATTTTCAATTATTTTTTATGAAAATAATTGATTTATTGCGAAGAAATTTATACAAAATTTGTAAATAATTGAATTCCTGTGAAATTTTTATTATTTATGGAAATAATTAAATGTTTGCGTAGAATTTTATTAAAAATGTTTTTCAATAATTGAATTCTTTTGTGTGATTTTAATAAAATAGTAGATATTGAAGATTATTGAAATGAGGAAAAATTTTCAAAATATTTGAATTTTGAAGAAGAATTTTTTTTTATAAAGATAATAATTGGAATTTTGTCGAGATATTTCTGGTAAATTTTGAACATAATTGAATTTTTTGATAAGAATTTTATTACTTTTTAAAATAATTGAATTTTTGCATTCATTTGTAACTTCTTCAAAATTTAATTTTTGTTATTTTTTCAAAATGTTTTAAAAATGATTTGGTTGACATAAAAATTTAATTTTGTTTTTCCCTGATTTCCAGAGAAAATTATGACTTTTTCCTCGATTATTTTCTAGAATTTTTAACTATTCTTCTTCTTTAAATATCTATTTAAAGTCATTAAATTTTTATTTTAAAAATTTTAGACAAAATTCTTTGAGAATTGAATTTAAATTAAAGTTTTTCAAAAAAATGAGTTTGATATAGAATTTTTAATTAAAATTATTAAAAATTCGAAGATTTCAATTTGAAAACCTTCTCAAAATTCAATTATTTATAAAAATTTATTTTATAATACTTCTTAAATTAAATTATTATCTAAAACTTTAATTAAAATTCATTTTTAAGTCAGTTTTGAATAGAAAATTTAACAAAAAATCAATTATTTCAATAAAAAAAAATTTTTTTTTAAATAATTGAATATTTCTTAAAATTGAATCTGTTCTTTATGTGAATTTTAATAAAATTTTGGAGAATAATTGTATTCTTAAAGGAATTAACTTAAAATTGAATTTAAAATAATTGAAATTCTGCTATGAGTTTTATTATTTATGAAAATAATTGAATTCCTGAATATTATAAAGTTTTTTATTTAATTGATTTTTTTCGAAAAATTTTATGCAAATTCAATTTTGAATAATTGAATTCCTGTGGAATTTTTATTATTTATGAAAATTATAGAATGTTTGCATAGAATTTTATAAATAGATTTATAATTGAATTCTTTAGGTAAATTTTATGAAAATAGGAAATATTAAAAATTATTAAATTGCGAAAATTTTTTGAAAATAAATAATTGAAATTTTGCCAAGAAGTTTATTAAAATTTTTAAAAATAATTGAATTTTTGTGAAGCATTTTATTATTTGTAAAGATAATTGACATTTTGACAAGAATTTTCTTTAATTTTTTAATATAATTGAATTTCTGCGAAGAATTTTATTATTTTTGAAAATAATTGAATTCTAGCGTTGAATATTGTTATTTACGAAAATAATTTAATTTTGCAAAGAATTTTATTAAAATAAGTAATAAATAGAAGGTAATAAAAAATTAGGAAATGAATTTTTAATTTTCTGCAGTTTGCGATTTCATTCATTTAACATAACTTGACTTTAAAAAAAACTAATAAGTGAGTTAAAATTTATAATTTGCAACATTATTCGAGTAAAATTAAATCATCCTCACGCTAATTTAACATTTCAGATTTCCATTTTAATTTGATTAGTTCAATTTGCCAGCAACTGTTCAACGAAAGTTTGTTTTAATCGTTTTCGTCAGATATAAGCGTAAATTTTTGCCCAATAACATGCAAATTTGATAAAGTATATCGGAAATAAAGTAAGTTTTAGAAGAAAATGAAAACGAAATGTAGTAAAATAAAATTTGAAAGGAGATGAAAAAAAAGAAAATTAAAAAATTATATTTATTATTAAATTATATTATCTCGAGATTAGTATGATATGTATGGATTTTAATTAGCCACGCAGTCATTAATTAATTTATATCATGATAAACAAATAAAATGTCAAAACGATGAAACAAGTTATATGTTTCTCTGTAATTAATTAGCAATTATAGTTGGTTTGAACCACAACTCTAGATTGTAGATTACATATGATTGAAAAGGATATATGAAGTGTACGTCTGTAATTAATAAAAGAATAAATTTTACTGAAAAATAAAAGAAGAAGAAAATTAATCTACAATTTTTATTTTTCATTAAAAGTTATAAATATTTTACACAAAATTACAGTAGTAAAAAAAATACAAAAAAACTAAAAAGTGAATAAAAAATATTTAAAAAATCTAAAATTGAATTAAAAACAAAATAAAGAATAGAATGAAAAGTAAAATGAAGAATATAATAAAAAATAAAATAGAAACTGAAATAAATAATGCAACAATAAGCAGAACATTTTTTTCAGTGTACATCAAAAAATAAAATAAATATAAAATAAACATTACCACAAAAAAGGTATCAAATAACAAAAAGTAAAATAAAAAATGCAACGAAAAATAAAATATTGAAAATTATTTATAAATTTAAAGACAAAATTATAAAATATACAAATATAGACATAAACTTTAATTAATTTAAGTTTTAATTTTTAATTTAAAAATTTTAAGGAAAATTTGAAAAATTTCCAATTTTAAGTATAAAATTAAAAAAAAAATGTAGAAAAAATAAAAAAAAGCAAATTAAGGATTATAAATTCACAATTAATTATGAAAATGAAAAGAAATAATCAATTACCAAAATAGGAGGCAGATGCTGTGGATCAATGGAAGTGGTACCGGAATTCGTTTCGGTACCAGGCATTGATACTCGATTACTCATCATTTGTGCTTGTGCTTTTGGTGCTGATTTTTCAACGCCAAGAAACTGGCCGCCAACTGAGGTCATTGCGTCATTATTATTATTATTATTGTTTTGAATGATATCATCGTACATCAAACCGTCCTCCTCATGGCTCGCCGATGACGATGTTGTTGTTGTCGTTGTCGTTGTTGTCGTTTGTGAATATAATGGTCTTATATTCACGTCCTTTCTTTCCTGTATTCTGTCCACGTTATCGCTCAATTGACAATGGTCCAGACATCCATGACGACATATTTCCACCTTTCAATAAAATTCAAAGACAAATTTAATTTCATATACTTGTAAATTTATACTTTTTTTTTATTAAATTTAATGAAAATTTTTTAAATTTCCTACTTTTTGATTTTTACATATTTTTAGTTTATCTATTCGACACATTTTTCACGAATTTTAATTTACTGTTTAATATTTAAATATTATTTATTTATTATTAATAGTAATAATAATAATAATTCTTGTCAACTAATTTTTTGTCTTCCAATATTTTTGAAAAAAACTCCCCATTTTTGAGAATAATTGAATTCCTCGGCAGAATTTTATTACTTTTGAAAATAATCGCATTCTCGAAAAGATTTTATTAAAATTTTTAAAAATTCTAATATTATTCTTTTAAAGAATTTCTTTGTGTTTTTTTAAATAATGTAGTTTTTTGAATAATTTCAATTGAAAATTTTGCAAAAATAATTGAATTAAACAAAGAATATTTTCAAATTTTTAAATTAATTTTCAAAATAATTTTTGCGATGAATTTTACTTTGAAGTTTGAACGGATTTCTTGTCAAGAGTTTATTCAAATTTTTGAAAATAATAAGAATTTTGTAAAGAATTCAATTATTTATGGGAAAAAATTGAATTCTTGTCAAGAATTTGTTTCAAATTTTTGAAAATAATTGAAATCCTCCGAAGAATTCAATTATTTATGAAAAAGATTGAATTCTTGACAAGAATTTGTTTTGAAATTTTTGAAAATAATTGAAATCCTCCAAAGAATTATATTATTAATGAAAATAATTAAAATATTCCAAAGAATTTTTTTTTTACGATGATAATTAAATTCTTGCGAAGAAATTGTTTCAAATTTTTGAAAATAATTGAAATTCTTGGAAAAATTTTATTATTTAAGAAAATAATGGAAATCATCAAAAGAATTTTACTTCTTATGAAGATAATTGAATTTTTAAGAAGAATTTTATTAAAATTTTAGAACATAATTGAAATCCTTTGAAAAATGTTATTATTTATGAAAAAAAATTGAATTCTTGACAAAAATTTGTTTCAAACTTTTGAAAATAATTGAAATCCACCGAAGAATTCAATTATTTATGAAACAATGGAATTCTTGACAAGAATTTGTTTCAAATTTTTGAAAATAATTGAAATTCTTGGAAGAATTTTATTATTTAAGAAAATAATTGATATTTTCAAAAGAATTTTACTTTTTATGATGATAATTGAATTCTTGCAAAGGATTTTATTAAAATTTTTAAAAATAATTGTAATTCTCCGAAGAATTTTATTATTTAAGAAAATAATTGAATTTTTCAGAAGAATTTTACATTTTATGGAGAAAATTGAATTTTTAGGAAGAATTTTATTAAAATTTTTGAACATAATTGAAATCCTTTGAAAAATTCTATTATTTATGAAAAAATTAAATTCTTGATAAGAATTTGTTTCAAACTTTTGAAAATAATTGAAATCATTCGAAGAATTCAATTATTTATGAAAAAAATTGAATTCTTGACAAGAATTTGATTCAAATTTTTTTGAAAATAATTGAAATCCTCCGAAGAATTTTATTATTAATAAAAATAATTGAAGAATGTTATTAGTTATGAAAATAATTAAATTCTTCCAAAGAAGTGTATTCAAATTTTTGAAATTATCAACAATAATAATTAATTATGTACTTAATAAGCGAATTTTTAAAAATTTTTATTATGAAATTATTCAAAAATTTAGATTTGAAAATAAAAAAATTTTCTAATTTTGCATAATAATAATAAATTGAATTCGACGTTCCGCGCTCGTAACGTTTGCTAGTTTATATAATAAAAAATAATAATTTATATACCTGATAAAAAATATCAGGTTACAAAAAAAATCCGAGGGAAATTTAAATTAAACATTAAAGTAAATGAATATAAAACGAGGGGATATTGAAAAAAAATATAGAACAATATAAAAAATAAAATACAAAGTAATATTATACCTATAGAGAATACAATAAAAAGTAAAATAAAGAATATAATAGAAAATGAAATAAAAACTAAAATAATAAACGCAATGAAAAATGACAAATATTATGAAGGATACACAAAAAATTCAAAAACTAAAAATTTACTTTTTGAAGTAAAATAATAAATATGTAAATAAAAAACACGAATAAATTGAAACAAAGTACAAACAGTGGAATTTAAAAAGAAAAATCCAAAGCAACAAATACAATTTATATACAGTAATCAGGATCTAAAATGTGAGAAACGAGTTAAACTATAACAAGTTCAAGTGTATGTTTTACAAACTGAGAAGTAGAATATGGAAAGTGGTCCATGTTTCTGTTTTTTATCCTTATTTATAAATTTTTGTTCTCGTATTTTTTTCCACTCAAAAATCCCACAATAGTTATAACAATAATAATAATAATAGTAATAATAATAATAATAATAGTAATAATAATAATATTAATAACCATATACATTTTCTCCACTACATTCTAAATGTTGAACATGTGAATTCATTTTCCCGACCACAGGTTTAACTCGTTAGTTCACGCGACACACCTGGAGAACGCAAATTACTTTATCTCTTTCAAAGATAAGAGACTTCAACATATATGTATGCAAAAGTTAAACGCTGACTGCGGTCTATGGAATGTGAGCCAGATGTCTCGATTCTATCTTCCTGGTTCATCGGGAATAAAGGATTAATTATCCTTCTCTCAATTTTTCGCCACACATTCGTCGAGAGTTCATTATATATCCTCGGAGTGGCGAAAAAAACAAAATTTCAATCACCACACATATGAGAAAATTATTTTATTTTCTCATCGCTCATTTTTTTTTCTCTCAAAATAAATAAAAATTAATTGTTAATTAATTATAATACTAATATTAGACCATACACGTAACGGCCCCCCCTTTTAAGGGCCGTTACATTACGTCAAAATGTAGGTCAAATTTAACCTACATACGAAGGGCCTTTACATTACGCCATCCACGTAACGCCCCCCCCCTAAAAAGTTGTTTATACTTCTTGTATAAATAAATTAAAATTAAAAAAAAAATTATAAAAGCAAAATAATAAATTTCAATTATATTAAAATTAGAATTATAAAAAATCGATAACAGGATTAATTTTTTTGTTTACCTTGCATTTGATGTGAACGCTAAGTGCGTCAGGGAATTTGAAGGCATGAAAGAAAGCGTAAGTGATGACGGTTGCACGATCATCAGAACCACGTGCCTTTAAGAAACGACTAATCATTTTTGGCCTGAGAACACAGCCAAATTCATCGCTGAGCTGAATTGTATGACCACCGCCATCGGAAGCGACGCACGATTTCACTCGCATGTCAAATTCGCCTGTTTTTTTTTGTTTTTTTGTTTTTTTTGTTTAAAAATGAAAAAGAAAAATTGAAAAATTATTAGAATGTTTGTTCGTTAAAATAATTCTCGAGAACGCCAAAAGTACCTTTGACTTTGATGGCTCGCTCGTTACCTCGGTAATCATTTATGGCGACGACCAGGGTCAATGTTGAACCCAATGGAACGATTCCAGAAACTGGCGGTGCCCATGGTCCCTTTCCATGTTGAATTTCCATCCAGCAATCCACATTGTCACCTGAATCAATTATTTTTCACACTCATTAATGATCTATAAATTAATTAATATAAATTAATTTTTTAATTTTTTGTAAATTAATTAATAAAAATTAATTTTTGAATTTATTTAAATTAATTAATTAGAAGAACATAGTCAGGGTTGGACCCCCTTTAACTATGAATTTAAAAAAGAGTTTATAAATAAATATTCAAAAAAACATTGGCACGCTTTTTTACCGATAATTCGCTTCGATTTTTAGACATGGTTCAACCTTGACTACACTTTTTTCAAATGTTTATAACTTTTTAAATTTTAGACCAATAAATTTACAATCCTTAGCTACAGTACCTCTTTTATAGATTTTTCCAAAAATATAACTCGATTGCCTAAATTTATTTCCTAAAAAATAGTTATAAACAAAGTTCAAAAGGTGGTCCAACCCTGACTATGTTCCCTTGTAATTAATGAATAATAATTAGTAATTGAAGCGTACACAATCAATATAAAGTAGGAAATTTATTTTTTAATATAATAATCCTAATTAGTTAAACCTGCAATTTATTTATGTAAATTAAAATATTTATTTTGTATAAAAAACATAATTTTTCTAACAGTTTTCCTTTAAATTTAATTATTTGAACAACTCGTATAGTTTATTCTAAATTTTTTTAAAATTCAATTATTTTTCAAATTTGCAATTAGAATTCTTCAAAAATACGATTATATTTCAAAATAATTTTTTTAAAGTAAAGAAATAAAATTCATTTAAATATAAAATCTATTTCAAAAAAATTTGACAAAATTTTTCAATCGTTTCAATTTTTTGAAATTATTTCCAGAAATGCAATTATTTTTAGAAAATTTTAATTACATTTTTTCGAGAAACAATTTTTCGGAATTTCTAAAATAAAGTATTTAAAACTTTAATATTTTTTGATTTAAAAACTTATTCTTATTTATTTTTCCTGAGAAATTAAAATTTCAAATAATTTCAATGAAAAACCTCATGAAATTTAATTACTTCTAATAATATTGCAACTGTAATTCTTCCAAAATTTAATTATTTTTTTAGAATTTTTGAGTAAACCTCATGAAATTTAATTGCTTCTAATAATTGCAACTGTACTTCTTCCAAAATTTAATTATTTTTTTTAGAATTTTTGAGTAAAATTATTGAAAAACTTTAAGAATTTTTAAAGAAAAATAATTTAATTAATAATTCTATCAAATAAAGTTTTAAATATTTTTATACTTTTGCTTTCCTTACATTTCCAAGGAATTTAATTTAAAAACCTTTTAAAATTTAATTAATTCCTAAAATTCCTGTTATAACGCTTTAAATATTCAATTAATTTCTAAAATTTTAACTGAAATTTTTTTTTAAATCAATTCCTATCAGAGTTCAACGACGAGAATTGAATTATTTAAATAAAATAATTTTTTTGTCAATTCATGAAAAAATAAAATTCTTTAAAATATAAAATTTTACAAAATTTCCAATTGTTTCATTATTTTTAAGATTATTTTCGAAGAATTCAAGCAGATCTTCAAAAAAATTTAATTACTATTTTTCAAAAGTCTCATTGTTTTCAGAATTTCCAAATTAAATCTTTCAAATTTCAATCATTTTTGTAAAATAAATATTTAAATACTTATTTTTATTTATTTTCTTAAAATTTTGAAATACTTTCAATGTAAATCCATTGGAAAATTTTTTTATCACAATTTGAACTGCAAGTCTTACAAAATCTTTATTAATTTAAAGAGCAAATAAAAAAAAATTTTTACACTTCTTAGATTTAAATTCTTTTTGTTCATTTCTAATTATTTGTTAAAAGTTTTAAATATTTTTCCAAATTTATTTCCACGTTTTCATAAAAATTTTCTTTAAAAAAAAAAAAAAGAATTAAATAATTGGAAATATTTGAAAATAGTTTTTTTAAAAAAAAGCAGGTAACTTTGATAAATATATATTGTATATTTATATGTATATAGAGATGCTGGAGAAAAAAAGTCACAAAGAGAAATGTAAGTAGTATGACCGCAAAAATTCTTTTCTTCTTTTTTTGCAAATGAGCCAGAAAACTGGAAGCTGTAATTTATCGCATAAATGGAAATGAAATGGCGTAACCACGACTCTTTTTTTGCGGTCGGCTATATAGTTTCTCGAGTTCAGATGGTCAAGTTTTTCCTATCTCACCAGGTATACCCGGTGAGTTCTTTGCATTAAATGGACCTTGCGGTCAGGCACTGTGGTATTTGCGCTTTGTTGCGATTTTTTCGCTCCAAAAACTAACCATGGATAATATTCTATTTAAATTGCGCGACAAAAGGAATTATAATTATCACTTTCCGACAACTTAATTGCCACCTAATTCTTCACGACAAAATTTTTTCTATTTCTCTTTATTTCTTTTTACTTTTTTTCCTATATTTTTTGCATATTATTTTTTAAAAACTAAAATATTTTTTAAAAACTTAAATATTATTTACATTACAGTTTGTATTTGTTATTTATTAATTGCAATAACAATTAGTATTTATTAATTAAAATCATTACCATGAATACGTATAAAAATTATAATAAAGTTTTAACTAATTTTTTGGTAAAAATTAAAAAATTTTGACGAGAAAGATTTTGTTAAATTAAATAATTATGAAATGGAAATAAATAATAAAGTAATAATGTTAATAAGACTAATTGATTTAAAATTAATTATTGTACCTCGAAAATCAAGCTGAATGACATCGAGATCAGCAATAACCATTGGCGGTTTCGAAGCTGTTTTCTCATAATCGTTGAACCACTCACATCGCAGCCTTTTCGCTTCGTCCCAAACCTCAAGTAGATCCTTATCGTATTGAACTACAACCGTATTCTCGTAAAATTGGCCATGCATATCCGGTTTCGTGCCACACCTGTGACAAAAAAGAAGAAGTAAAACATTTGCACATAAGACTGTGAATTTTTATTTTTCCACTTGTATTTCAACTCTAATTTTAAATTTTCAGTATTTTTTTTTTCTTTTCAAAATTACTTTATTCCTTCCATAATTTTGAGACATAAACACAAAATAATAATAAAATAAATTTAGTTAAAAAATTAAAATTAATATTAATAAAATAGTTACTTTATTTATTTATAATAAAATAAATTTATTAATTTAAATAAATTTTATAATTTTTAATAAGATTTAGAATTTTATAATTTTTAATAAGATTTAGAATTTTATAATTTTTAATAAGATCTAGAATTTTATAATTTTCAATAGGATTTAGAATTTTATAATTTATAATAAAAATTAGAATGACATTAAAATTTACAAAATACTTATTTCTTATTTTGTCATATTTTTCTATTTCGCCACATACATTTATTTACAATTTTTCTATTCTAAAAATAAATAATTTACCATGATAACGAAAAACTGAAAAGAAAAAAAATTGCTCGATATATAAAGTCAAAGATATAAGATTCCCATTTATCTGACTTTGCAATTTAAATACATAAATCTGCGAAAAATGAGAAAAATCAAATCTAGAATTTCTCCACTAATGAATAATAATAAATTACTCAATTAGAGTACATCACAATGTATACGTACACTAGAATGTGATATTTTTAAAATGTTCAATCTATATATATAGAAAAATATAACACTAAGTGGGGAAGAATAATTCAGATTAGAGAGTAAATAAATAATTTTTGTAATAAACAATAAGTAAATAATACTATCACTATTAAAATTAGTATTTTTTCTAATTTAACTATTTTACTACTTTTTAAGTATTTATGGTTTTTACTAAAATTTTAGTGGGAAACGATTAAAAAATTCTACTACTAAATAAGTAGTTATCTACTATTAAATTAGTAATTTTTCAGTAATAAATAGTTTTCTACTACTAAATTTTTATACTATTAAAATAGTTATTTTCTACTACTAAATAATTTAATTCTACTAAATCAGTAGTTATCTACTATTAAATTAGTAGTATTCTAGTAATAAATAGTGTTTCACTAATAAATTAGTAATTTTCTAGTACTAAATAGTATTCGACTATTTAATTAATAATTTTCTGGTATTAAATAATTTTCTATTAATAAATTAGTAAATTTATAATACTAAATACTTTTCTACTACTAAGTTAATAGTTATTCACTACTAAATTATAAATATTCCGCTACTAAATTAGTAGTTTTATACTATTAGATTAGTAATTTACTTCCAGTAAATTGTCTTTTACAACAAAATTAATAACTTTTTACTATTAAATTAATAATGTTCTAGTATTAAAAAGTTTTCTACAATTAAATTTGGAATTGTCTACTACTAAATAATTTTCTACTACTAAATAGTTTTCTATTGTTAAATTATTAAAATTCTCTGCTAAATTGGTATTTTAGAACTATTATATTAGTTATTTTTCAGTAATAAATAGTTTTCTACTAATAAATTTTTATACTATTAAAATAGTTATTTTCCATTATTGAATAGTTTTTTTATAATTAAATTAGTAATTTTTTTCTACTAAATTCTACTCTAATTTATACTTCTAATTTCTACTCTCTATTATTAAATTAGTAATTTTCTATACTATTAAATTAGTAGTTTTGTACTATTAAATTAGTATTTTACTAATACTAAAGTAACAACTTTCCACTATTAAATTAGGAAATCATTACTATTGAATTAGTAATCTAGTGTGTACTTTTTAATAAATAGAAAACTACTAATTCAGATTTATAGAGAGTAAATAAATTTAAAATGTATATTAAATTATAAATAGTAAGAAAATAAATAAAAAATTAACAGTAGGTAGAAAATAAATGACTAAAAAATATATGATTAATAAACTAAATTTATGTAAAAAAAATAGTTGTAGAGTAAATAAATAAATTGTTATTAAATGAATAAAAAAATAATAGTAAATAGAAATAAATAGGTAAAATTTCTTAAGTGAAATCGAGAATTTCGAGGTGATTAGGTATATATCGAGATATTATAATAGATACAACATTGAATGGCTTATCAGTTAAAGGCTGATTTGATGCTGCAAGATATTGAGAGTTAGTGTGTTCGACATAGACCTCTAATTCAATGGATACGATAGTGATGACAGAGATTAGAGTCTACGATGTATCTAATGCTTAACTGTATAGAATATGTATGGCGCTTGAGTAGATAATCGGAACTGTAACACACTTTCATTAATCGATGCAAAGCGCTAAATGTTACGTGTAATGCACACGACCTTGATTGCAAATCCCGGAGAAATATATATATATATCCTTTGCTTACAGTATAGAATAATAAGAAAATTGCATTAATTTAATTAGAACAGTTTAATGAACCAGATAACATTATAATTCACAGTTAAGAGTTGTTGATTCTTATCAAAATGATTTTGATTGCAGCGAATATATATGTTTTATTAATTATTAGAATAATTAAATTGCAATTATAGTTTAGAAAAGTTGTTTATTTTGTTTTCTGTATTATATATTTTTATATGTGTCGTGGTAAGAGTGAAAAAATGTAAATCAGTAGTAAGAGTCAATTAAAGTCGAGTAGAAATTATTATTAGAAATAGTTTTATGTGATCAATTTCAGTAGTATGATTCAATGAATAGTGGGACGTAATTATTGTGAATTCAAATTTTAAATTATTTTTTATGTAAATAATAATTGAATTCCTTAAAAAAATTTTAGTATTTATGAAAATAATTTAAGTTTAGAGAAGAATTTTGTTATTTAGAAAGATAATTGGGATTTTTACGAGAATTTTTTTTTAATTTTGAACATAGTTGAATTTTATAGGCAGAATTTTTTTTTTGAAAATAATTGAATTTCTGCAATTATTTGTAATTTCTCCAAAATTGAATTTTATTAGTGTTTTCAACAAAAATTTAAATTAGAACTTAAGTAGTATAAATTTTAGTAGTAAATGTCAGTTAAGGGAAAAGACAATATTCAACAAGATTCTTAAAGTTTTGATGTTAGTAGAACAAGTCAGTGAGAGTCAGACACAATTAAGTTCGTCTTTTAAAAATTAAGTGGTAGAAGTCAATTAAAGTCAGACCGAATTCTACAAAATTCTGTTTTTTTTAATTTTTAGTAGTATAAGTCAGTGAGAGTCAGACACAATTTAATTCTTCTCTTAAAAATTAAGTGGTAGAAGTCAATTAAAGTCAGACAGAATTCTTACAAAATTCTTTTTTTTCACTTTTAGTAGTATAAGTCAATGAGAGTCAGACGCAATTAAACTCTTCTCTTAAAAATTAAAAAGTACTTGTCACATACAGTAATAAAAATCATTTTGAATTTAAGTAATTAAATATTAGTAGTAAATATCAGATAAAGGAAGACAATTTTCAACAAGATTCTTAAAGTTTTGATGTTAGTAGTACAAGTCAGTGAGAGTCAGACACAATTTAGATCGTCTTTTAAAAATAAAGTGGTAGAAGTACATTAAAGTCAGACAGAATTCTACAAATTTTTTTTTAATTTTTAGTAGTATAAGTCAGTGAGAGTCAGACATAATTTAATTTTTCTCTTAAAAATTAAGTAGTAGAAGTCAATTAAAGTCTGACAGAATTCTACAAATTTTTTTTTCACTTTTAGTAGTAGAAGTCGATGATAGTCAGACACAATTAGAGTTTTAATATTAGTAGTAAAAGCCAGAGAGAGTAAGACACAATTCAATTCTTCTTTCAAAAATTAAGTGGTAGTTGCCCGTTACAGTCAGACAATTTATTTTCAATTAAAGTGATTAAATATTAGTACTTAAATATTATTACTTAAAGTAAGGCAATATTCTACAAGATTCTTAGAGTTTTAATATTAGTAGTAAATGTCAGTGACAGTCAGACAAAATTTGTTCGAATTAGTACTGTTTGATTGTCAGTGGTAGAAGTCACTTAAAGTCAGACACATAATTCTTTTTAATTTCTTTATTCTAAATTTCAAGTAGTAAACATCCATTATAGTCAGACAAAATTATATTCAAAGCACAAATTTCCTAGTATTTTTTCAGTACCTACTAAAAGAATGTTAATAGTAAAAGTTTTCTTCAGGTATTTTTCTAATAGTAGAAAAAACTACTAATTAGTAGTAAAAGCTATTTTCAGTCAGACAATGTATTTTCATTAATAAATGCAGGTTTTTAATTTTAATTTAAAAAAAAATCACCTTGCATATGCTATCCGAAAAGAGAAGAATGTTTGTCCAGTTGAAGGTGGAACGTAGACACAGCGGGGATCTGCGTGCTGGCCTTTCGAAGATACGATGCCCTCGAAGGGCTGAGAAAATGAAAGATGAACGTCCATGTGGTCCTTTCCACACATTACTTCAAGTGATTGTATCGCTGGCATTCCGTCCGGCCTTTCCAATGGCCAGATATCACTGTTGCTACTGACGGTTTTTAAGCTAATCATCTGCAATTAATTGTTTATTAATAATATTACTCAAAATTCTACTAGTAATCCTACTAATTTTTTTATTATTATTGTAATTCATCATTAATTGTATTCAATTACTATTAGTACTGTCACAATTACTATTATTGTTGTTAGTTATTGACATAGAAATACTAACTACTAACTACTAACTACTAACTACTAACTACTAACTACTAACTACTAACTACTAACTACTAACTACTAACTACTAACTACTAACTACTACTATTTTATTTTTTCCTAGTGACATTTTTACTTAATTCAAACAAATTATATTTGGTTCAAATAAAATTTTTCTCTGTGTGTAACAAAAATACTAAGAAAAGAAATATATTATAATAACAATGTTGAAAACATTGTTGATAATTGTAATAAAATTATTCCTAATAATAATAATTATACTAGTAGTGGTAGTTAAAAATAATTAATAGTGATAAAATGAAAAAAGAAAATTGCCTTGTTATGGGTAGACTTGTAAATAAAATAGGTGAAGTGAGATGTTACATAGTGGTCGTCGAATTATAATAAAATGCTTAAGGCAAAATTGAGAGACTCCTGGTGAGCCTAGAAGTAATGGTTGATTATTCCATGCAGTACATAAATTATAATTTACATACAGGAACTCACTGCAAGATTACATTCAGAAACATAAATCTATTCGACTTAAATTGTCCACTTTCGCAAAAGTATATATCTTAATATCGATACCAAACTCATATACATATTACACACATATTTTTAGTCAAGCAACTATACAATGTTTACAGTAACTAAAATATTACTATATATATACAAATAATAAAATATTCCACTACATCTGTATTATGTTATTTAAATTTTTTATATTCTAATTTTATTAAATTTCTAATTTTTTTTTACAAGAAACGAAAAAATTTTTTTTTAAATCATAGAAACAATTTTTTGAAAATATACCTTAGAATATAATAGAATTATATATTTTTTTTTCGAAAAAAAACTGAAATTTGCCAAACAATTTAAAAACAAATTTACCGAATAAAATGAGAAGTGGAGAAAAAGTTGGAAAAACTTGATCTTATTCGAAATTTCAACAATGTTACAGGATCTGAATTTAAATTCATAGTAGTGACACTGGAACGTGAGGGAACATTACAGATGGGATTCCCACTGTAGTGTGCCGTCCACTTCGAATACTAATTTCATTCTATGCACCGTTATTACTGCAATAAAAACTTGAATTTTGATATTTTCAACTTTTTAATTCAGGAAATAAAAAAATTAAAAATCCAGTGTGAACTTTTCATGTAATTGTAAAATATTATATCCAAAATTTCACGTGAATATTCTAGGTACACGACTTCTGCAATATGTAAAATATAATTCCTCATATTGTTCTAGCCTTGGAAATGTATAAAAATTATTTTAAAAATTTTTGTCATAGAAGAATTTTTCTTTTTTTATTGAAAGGGAAAAAAAATATTCAAAACGTGAAAAATATAAAATTGTGTAAATTTTTGTTTTTTAATTTTCTACTTTGGTAAAGTTTATAACGTTTATGATTAACAATTTTTTTTCTGCGGAAACAATATTTTTCTATGCAAATTTTTTTTCACTTTTAAACTGAAATTTTTTTTTTAGAAATTCACTGTATTTTTAAATTAGAATTTGTGCACAAAAGTTTACGATTTTTTGCGTTATTTATAAAATTTATATTTTTCTTCAAAATGTTGTTTATGAACTTTTTGCAACCAGGAAAAAGTTTTATTTAATTCAGAGCCTAGTAAATTATTTATTTGAACTAAACAAAATTTATCTGAAGATAAATTTTCTTTTGGTTCAAATAAATTTGGTTCGGTTCAAATAAATTCTATTTGATTCAAATAAGTTTTGTTCGGTTCAAATAAAAATGTTATTTGTTTCAAATAAATTTTGTCTGGTTAAAAGAAATTTTATTTAGTTCAAAAAAGAAATTTGTTTCAATATTTAAATCAAATAAAAAATTCATATAGCACTTTTATTTATGTTCTAAATAAAATTTTTGCTTAAAAACTGTTTTCTTTGCTCCAAATAAAAATTTATTTTGGGCCTGAATAAAATTTATACTTGAACCATAAATAAAATATACTTGAAGAAAATATATAATTATTCTACTTAAATTAAGAAATTATATATTTAAACGAAGAAAATTAAATTAAGTTAGATTATTTCAAAAGAATAAATGTTTATTTTTCCCTGGGAGAAATATCTTTTTTTAATTCTTTTTGATTCAAATATATTTTGCTTAATTCAAGTAAACTATTTCTCTGGTTTTGTATCAAATGAATATTTATTTTTATCAAATGTATACAAAAATTTATTTGATTTACATAAAAGAATTTATCTATCATCAAATTAATATTTACTCTGTATCAAGTAAATATTTTGTTAAACCAAATAATTATTGAAATTGAAACAATATTTTTGTGGCCTTTGTATCCAAAAAATATTTTGTTGTATCAAGTAATTATTTATTTGTTTCACAAATAAATAAATAATCATTTATTTGAATCAAAACCATTTTTTTCCAGCGTATACGAAACTCAATCAAAGAAATAATTTATTTTAATTAAATAAATACATATTTGTATCGAAATAAATATTTATTTGGTTTTGTAGCAAATAATTTTCATTTGCGTCAATTAAATTAAATTTACTTCAAATACTGAAATTATCCGTTCTAATAAATTTTTTTTTTATTCAAATAAAATTTCTCTGATTTAACTAAAATTTCTTTGATTCAAGTAAATATTTATTTGTTAATAGACAAATAGTTAGTAAAATCAAATAAATCCAGTGTAAAATGAGTTTCGAAAGAAGCAAAAAAAAAAAAAAAGAAAGAATAGAATTGCAGATTGTAAACTTTCTTTTTTTTCCATTTCCATTGAAAATACAGTAAAGTAAAGTAAAAGGTTGTACTACTTGGAAAATTCTTTGCATGGATCAGGAGGAGACTTCGCATCAAGTTAGGAAGCGAGAGCATTATGTTCGCAGGAGTTGAGGAATAGAGAAAAAGCGGGAGAGACTCATATGAAGCGCGCGAGGGCTTATCTGCCCCTGTGTAATCATTTCTAATGAAATGTTGTCATTTAACAGTGCGATTGTGAAAGAAGTCTGAAACTTGTTTTCACTTACGTGAAAAACGGCAACCGTTAATGCAGCGGTAAAGACGCCTCTCCCGTTACGAGCAATGCGCGCGAGTATGGAATAAATATAAACACCTTTTCTTCAATGATCACTGACATATGAATTTTCAATCTTGACCTCACAAGAACAATAATAATAATAATAATAATATTAATTAATATTTCAGTTTTCGCACGTCTGAAAATCGTCACGTTCACTGACAACATGTAAAACAATCGGTTAATAGCTTCGCGTGCGAGGAAAGCCTTATTACTTATCTTGTATCTAATTTGTATTATTTTACATGAATGTAAAAAATTAAATTACTCTTATTAAATTTTCTTTTCTTATGTTTACTAATTTTTAATTTTATTGTCGTATATTTTTTTCTTGAATTATTGTTTTATCATAATAATCTAATTAACTAATTTTTTCATACAATTAAATCATACAATTAAATATTCATTTATAAATATTTAATAAAATAATTAAATTAAAATAATTAAATTTAATTAAATATTTAATTATAAATATTTAATATTTATTAAATATTCATTTATATTTATTTAATTTCATACAATTAAATATTTAAATAATAAAAATAATAATAATTAAAAAATTAATTCCATTTAGATTTTAAATTCAAAATTCCTTCCCCCCCTTCCAAAGTTGATTTGAAATTGCTAATTTCCGATAATGTTTCATGTAAGGCGATATATAAGAAGACGAATCATGATGAGATTCCGGTGCGAATCAAATTAGTCGACATAAGCTTTGAATCACGTTTTAATTTTCCTGTCTGGCAAGTTTCATGGTCAGCATTTGGTAAGTACTCGAAGAATCCCAGCGCGTTGGAAATAATTACCGGCCTCAGGGGTCATTTCGTGACTCACTTCAGAGATATCATAAGCATCAATTAACATTTGTTAGTCCAACTGGCTTTTAACTAAACTAATAAATCTCCCTTCTCTCTTTTTTTTCATTCAAAAAAGAAAAAAAAATAAGGAAAAGAAAAAAGTTCGCTTACGATTACAAAAAGCAGAAAAAAGACAAGCAAGCAGATGAATAAATTTTTGATACTCTAAATAAATAAGTAAGTAAATAAACAAGTAAATAAAAAATGATGAATAAAAAATTAAATAAAGAAATAAATAAAGGAGTACTAAATAAATAAATAAGAAAGCAACTGAGTAAATAAACAAACAATTAAGTGAATAAATAAACAATTACGTAAATAAATAATTAAATAAACGAACAATTAAGTAAATCAGTAGGCAAATAAACAATTAGGTAAATAAATAATTAAATAAACAAATAAATAAGTAAATAAATAATTAAATAAACAAGCAATTATGTAAATAAATAATTAAATGAACAAAATAATTAAATAAACAAAATAATTAAGTAAATAAACATGTAAGTAAATAAATAAGTAAATAAACAAACATTTAGATAAATAAATAATTAAATTAAGACAAAATTAAGTAAATAAGTAAGTAAAAAACAATTACGTAAATAAATAAATAAACAAACAATTAATTAAATAAGTAAGCAAGTAAACTATTATGTCAATAAATATGACAGTAAATAAATAAGCAAATAAACAATTAAGTAACTAAATATGTAAGTGAATAAATAATTGAACAAACAAATAATGAAGTAAAGAAATAAGTAAACAAACAATTGAGTAATGAAATAAATAAATAAATACACATTTAAATAAATAAATAATTAAATTAACAAAAAAATTTTCATTACTTTTGCAGATAGAAAATATTAATACCTACAACATTACTAAATCATAACAAGTAAATGAAATAAAGTAAAATAAAAAA